AAAAAAGACTGAATGCACTTTCTTCATGTTGTAATATGAGGTTTACTGGATTGAGATCAGCCAGCATGCATGATCTCACTCCAGGGTTTGTGCTGTATCACTACTCTGCAGGCCCCTCTTTTGCACATCAGACTCGAGACAGAGATGAACTTAGGTTAAAAAAGAAAAGCGTTTATAAGGAACAAGCAAATACAAGTTTTACTATGTTATGGGTCAAGGAATGTGGTTAGCACACGTCTGATGCGCTTCCCCTCGTTTTTGTTGTCTGCTCTCCTGGCTCTGCTAGGTGGCTTCGCTAACAGTTTCTTTGTGAACCTCACAATAGTCGTGGAGCACAAAACAAGCATAGATGACAAAGGGAAGGTCCTCCATGTTTATGTCCATTGCCCTCCTTAAAGTTGCAAATCTTGCCTTCAAACGTCCGAATGAACATTCAATCACCATGCGTGCCTTGCAAAGTGATAGCCCATAATACTGCTCCTGTGGTGTAACTCCGCCATTGGGGTATTCCTTCATGAGATACGGCATCAATAAGCTGGGTCACCCAGCAGAAAAACAGGGACAGCATCTTCGCCCTCTATCAATTCTTTAGGGCATGGGGGAACTGTTCCATCTTTTAGGGCACAACTAAATCGCGAGTTGGCAAATATACGCGCATCGTGAACACTTCCCGGCCATTTCACAACAACGTCCATGAAACTGTATTTGTAGTCACACGGCCTGTACATTCAAAGAATGTTTCCCCTTTCTGTTGATGTAGTCTGTAGAGTTAGCACGTGGTTGTTTCACTTCGATATGTGTACAGTCAATGGCCCCCAAGCATTGTGGCATACCGTGTGTTTGGAAGAAGTTGAACACAAGGTCCCTCACTTCTGGCTCGGTACTCGGTTTCCGGATGTACTTGGGACCCAGGAAGACGGCGATGGCCCTACAGACTTGTCGGATGATGACTGAAACAACTTGTCGGATGATGACTGAAACAACTTGTCGAGATAGTCCAAATGCATTAGCGGTTTTCCGGAGTCTGCCCTCGTCACTCAGGTAATACAACGTGCACGCTACCTTTGTAAGTACATCCACGGGCGCCCTCATCGTGGTTGTTGCTCCCTCCACATGCGGACGTAACATTTCGCTAAGGTTGATCAATGCCGATCTGGACATTCAAAAGTTTTCTCACCATTCTTTGGGAATCATAACTTCATTGATGAAATTATTCCACCAGGCGCTCGTTCTTCCTGGCCTCACCCAAAACCGGCGCTCCATGTACGGCTGATAACGCCTCTGGACTCGGGAATTGTCGCTCATCGCTCGAAGAATAGCTTGCCTCCTCCGCCTGTAGGCAGTAGCAGCATTGTAAAATGACGAATTTAACTCCACAATTGCTGCTAGTACAGACAACAACGCAAGCAAGGCTTGCCATTCGTTATCCATGTTGAAATGAATCGCTGGTCGCCCTGCCTGTTTGTTTTCTTCCGGGTACGGGTCACGTGATAGTGAGTGTGACGAATCAGGGACGGAGACGTCATGGTTGCTAAGAACCAATCCAGTAGCGAACACGGGTGTGGGCGTAATTTTTTGTAAACACATCAGTTTCCGACCGTCCACACGCAAACGCAACCCCGGAGTTTTCAAACACCTCCAATCTCGGGGGTGTTTTCAGACTCCTCCATTTAGGGTGCTCCAAAACTCCGGCGTAGTGTGGCTGCTCAGTGTAAACGTGGCAAAACCGGAGTAAAAACGGAGTAATGTGGACATGGCCTCAGTGTAGCTTCTCTTTGCTACCTTGATCTCCCTCGTCAGTGTGTTTCTGGCCTGGTTGTACAGGATCTTGTCCTCACTTCTGTAGGCCTCCTCCTTGGCCCGACAAAGCTGCCTGAGTTTTTCAGTAAACCAGGGTTTATTGTTGTTGAATGTGCAGAAGGTTTTTTTTCGGCACACACATGTCCTCACAAAAACTGATGTATGATGTCACTGTGTCAGTGAGCCCATCCAGGTCTGTAGCAGCAGCCTCAAAAACACTCCAATCAGTGCAGGCAAAGCAGGACTGTAGCTCCAGCTTTGCCTCGATGGTCCATCTCTTCACATTCTTTACCACAGGCTTTGCAGATTTTAATTTCTGCCTGTAGGTCGGGAGGAGATGAATCAAACAGTGATCAGAGAGTCCCAAAGCTGCACGGGGAACTGAGCGATATGCATCCTTTATTACAGTGTAGCAGTGGTCCAGTGTGTTTTTAAACACACTCCAGCAGGATTTTAAAGTCAATTCTTTCTTGGACAGGAAGCCAGTGCAAAGACCTCAGAACTGGAGTGATGTGATCCACAATTTTTCTACAATTTTTGAAGTATTTGTACTTCATTTTTTGTCCATTTTGTTCTACTTTGTACTTTTAAATTAACAAAATATATATTTTATTTATTTGTTTGTTGATTTGAAGTTATTATGAGGCTTCGGCAGAGTGAGTTAGTCAAACCAAGGTTGTATCTTCAAAAGTTATGCTGTTGTTTTTGTATGAAAATGTTAAAATAAAAAAGAGGTATATACACCAAGTCAAATAACAACTCAACAATAGCAATTAAAGACTAGTCTAGTCTAGACATACAATGTACACCAGAATAATATATGTGATTACGTAATGACACATAATATAAGTATAATATAGTATATGATGTATACCAGTGGTCACCAACCTTTTTAAGCCCAAGATCTCTGACCTCTGCCTTGGTGACAGGCAAGATCTACCTATTGAGGTGTTGAGAGAAAAAGACTGTCCAGACTGTACTTACAACTTGAGGCTTTTTATTTGGCCTAATTGTAATTGAATGAAATCAAACACTTTGGTCCAGCTTTCAAATTGATGTGACCAAGAAGACACTAAATGACTTAATTTCAGTGCAACATAAAAAGGAAATTATTTGTTAACCGCACACAATATGAACAAGAAAAAACACATTTGCAATGAGCAGGCTGGATAAACTACCAATATTAACTATTGTATTTATCAACTGAAGTTACAACACAACACTGAAAAAATTCTCAGTCAGTGCAACTAATGTAAGTGCAGTTCAGCTCTGTGTCCCATCACAATGCCATCGGAAGTCATGTGACTCAAGTCAGTGTGATGGCTGTGACTGAACACTGTCTGTGAGTGCCTTGTAGTTCGGCTCATAAGCACAGACAGCCAGTCTGAGGCAGTCTGTGAGGTGTCAGTCAGTAAGCCGGCTCCTGTACTTTGATTTGGTGATTTTCATCTGTGAAAATGCCGTTTCACAGAGGTAAGTTGATCCAAAGTAGGCACTCACTTTTAGTGCACATGCGCTGAGGAGAGGAAACTTCTCTCTGCTGACAAGTCCCCAAAAGTCACTGTCCCTTGACCTGGCTTTCAGCTCTATGTCATTTTGCATATCAACCATCTCCACGTTCACTCCACCTGGCAAAGCAAATACTTTCTGGAATTTGGCTGCGACCTCCTCTGTATCAATAGGCAGGAATGGGTTTGAAACAAATGCAGCAATATCCTCCATGACGTCTAACTCACCAAAACGTTGACTGAACTCTGCTGCTCATCCAATAACGGCTTGAATAAGCGATGCTGAAGCTCTTTTGCTCGAATCGAGTTTACCACTTTGACCACCAGTGTCATTATATGAGAAAAGTGCACAACTTTCCCAGCCAAGGCTTGCTGATGAATCACACAGTGATACTTCATGAAGTCGGGGAAATCCGGATCATTACGGCACAGTGCTATAAAACCAGCGTGCACAACGCACATTGCCGGTGCCCATAAACTCCTTACTTCCTCTGTATTATTCGGGTTGCAGGTAGATGTTGCAACGAAAGAAAGAAAGAAAAGTACCACTAGGTGGCCCCATTATTCTGCAGGTTGGCTGGTTAGAGGAGACAAAGAGAAGCTGGGATGAGATCATGCAGCAGACTCGTGCCCAATAGCGCAGACTTTTCAATATATTCATGCTTGAATTTTAAAACCTACAGATAACAACAAAATATGAAATGCAGTCAGTTCAAGAGTGTGATTGTCAGTGGGAGCTGCTGCTGAATGTGACATCAGATACAATAAATGGACATGGAAACACACACAAAAAGAATGTATTATATTCAGGCCACATGATGAGGTCAGTATAAATCTTTCAAAGAGTCTATTTGACACGCTGTAGCTCCCTATAGAGATAGTAAAATAATGCATAATGCTATGTGAATTTTCCTCATGACAAAAAGGGGTATAAATGGAAACAACTTTTTTGTTTCGGTCCTCATTTACGTTGTGGCCCTCTGAGTCTGTGTGAATTCAAGCCATATGAATAAAGTCATTATAGTAGAAGCATCTCAGGAATATACGTTATCATGTATGTTATGGCATAGGTCGTTGTACCCTACCCCCCTCCCTACTGCTATATTGAGAAAAAAAACACTCATTAGTCAGTTATATAATTTCTTGGACTTGCTGAACATTCATTCAGTCATTTTGCTCTCTCCACTGCGCACGAGCACAAGAGGCTCGCGGCCGCTGCCTGCTTCTCTCGCTGCTGCTGCTGCTACTACTGCTGCGCCGCGGGAGCGAGTTGGAATGTATTGACGTCAGAAGGAAAGCTGGACACACGCGCGTATGTGCGTGCACGCGCGCGCACGTCGGCATGCTCCCGTCCCGCTGTAGCTCTATCTCTCTCTCTCTCTCTCTCTCTCTCTCCCTCTCTCTCTCTCCCTCCCTCTCTCTCTCTCTCTCTCTCTCTCTCTCTCTCTATGCCGGAGCGGGCGCGCGGTCACGCAGCTCGAGACTCGAGACTCGAGAATTGAGGCGGGCGGTCATGAGAAAAGTATGTGCACACATGGACCGTGAACATGGAGTGTTATGAAAGAAAGCGAGGAGGCGGCGCTGTCATTTCTTACGTCCGAGTTCAGCGCGGCGAGGCGGCGGAGTGACAGAGAGAACCGCGCGGCTGGATAGGTCGCGGCTATGGGATATTATTGCATAACAATGGTAAGTTGGGCACCGAGGTTAGCAGCGTTATATTCCCCCCGGCGCTTGTCCGGCTGTTCCGCGAGGTTGTTGGTGGCGTTTGTTTTGGAGGTATTGAGCTGCCGCAAGGAGGATGACTACATGCGTATGTGCCAACTCGGGACTGCGGTTGAGGCCAAGTAGAGAACAGCTGGCTTTGCCGCAAGTGTAGCAGCCTGTAGGCATGTAGGTGTTTTGGATCCGATGAACCTGCACAGCCAAGGATATCAGAGGACAGTAACCCGGTGAGGCCTGCTTCTGTTCACTCGGCCCAGTGGAGCTGTGTGTGTGTGAGTGTGTGTGTCACCATCACTTATTCCCTAATGAATAAGTGATGGTGACACACACACACACAGACACATTCCTAATGAATAAGTGATGGTGATGGTGATGATAAGATGCTGCCGGTGATGAGGATGAATAAGATAAAGGTAACAGCGATGAAGTTGACAGTGGTAACTGTATTGATGGTGACCGCGGTAATGAAGATGATGATGGCAGCTAAACTTGTTACCCTGGGGGGGGGTCTGATGATGACATCATCAGGACTAATGCCACCTTTTGACCCTCTTAGCCAAACTAATGACACACACGCGCGCACATGCACATACATTATGGTTTCCTGTTACAGTATTGATTTGGCGTGCCATTTGTGCTGGATGGCTGTTATTTGAGATGGAGCCAAATGCAGCCCTTCAACATCACAGACGATAAAATAAATCATATTTGACCCTCTACTGTTCTCCTTCTGGGCTACTATGGTGTACTCTCCTTATACATCGTGATCTAGTCCTCGCTGCTTGATTTAGAAAACTTGTTCCGTCTTCTCTGCCTTTGTCAAACGATGTGAAATATCAATCTGGTCCAGCGCTCGGAGGGATGAGGTGACCTCCTCTAAGCCCCGTTTCCCTTTCGGGGGCCGAGGGCTAAAACCCTCAACACTCTCATTTCGTCTCACTGTGTTGTCTTTTTCTTTGTCCTGCCAGGCAACTCCCCATCGGTGAGGAACTTCGCTGCCCTGCAACCCCTCCTCCCTCCATCCCCGACACCTTGACATAACTACTTTCCGTCTCCCGTTTCCTTTTTTGTCCCTCTCTCCTGAAGCTCTTTCAGTTCAATCCCTCCTCCCCTCTGAATCCCCTCTACCCCCCCTCACACCCCTTTTGTTGTTGTTTCAAACATGGACTCCTCTGGAGAGAGAACCTCCGCCCAGGAGGGACACCTCGACCCCAGGAGCAGCCCCGGTCGCTCCGATCTCAGCGGACTGTACCACCTGGGTCGGACGTTGGGCAGGGGCCACTTTGCCGTGGTCAAGCTGGCTCGTCATGTCAACACCAGGCAACTGGTTGCTGTCAAGATGATTGACAAGACGAAACTCGACGTGATGGCGGCGAGCCACCTCTTACAGGAAGTGAGGTAAACTACACTGAAAGACGAAGCTTGAGAAGAAAATATTTAGGAAAAGGTTGAAAACTGTTTAAAAAAACAGAATTTCAAACAGGCATACTGGTAGTGAACTGTGTGTGATCCATCTGAATCTTATCTGAGCCAAACATGGAACGAAACCTGTGTAGATTTTGAGGTGCACCACTCTAGGCATCCTTATTTACCCGGCATAATTACTCGTTATTTCCAGATGCATGAGGCTGGTGCAGCATCCCAACGTGGTCCGCCTCTACGAGGTCATCAACACGCCCACCACCCTCTACCTGGTCATGGAGCTGGCCGAGGGAGGCGACCTCTACGACTACATCCTCCGCCACGAGGGAGGCGTGGCCGAGGGCAACGCCAAGCGCCATTTCGCCCAGATCGTGCGCGCCGTGGCGTACTGCCACCAGCTCCACGTGGTGCACCGGGACCTGAAGCCCGAGAACGTGGTGTTCTTTCCCCAGCAGGGGGCGGTGAAGCTGACAGACTTTGGGTTCAGCAACTTATTCCAACCCGGGACCATGTTGGCCACCAGCTGTGGGTCGCTGGCGTACTCGGCTCCAGAGATTCTGCTGGGAGAAGAGTATGATGCTCCAGCTGTGGGTGAGAAACACATTTCAATTTTTTTTTTGGGAGTGTTGAAACTGAACTGTTGATCTAGATCAATGGTTCCCAACCTGGGGGTCAGGACCCAAGCATAGGGTCACAAGAGAAATCTGAATGGTCGCAAGATGATTAACAGAATACATACTTGAGCTACGTCCAATTATGTTTATTTTTTTCGGACTTTCCGCTAAATGTGGCTTATTTTCTTCTGGTTATGGAACTACTGTACATTTATACCTATGATGAGTGATTTTTATGATGGGGGAAAAAAAAAAATGACTCTTTGGCGGATCATCGTAACACACTTCATTCAAACAAAACAAAACTCACCCAAACCGTCTCGATTAGTCTTTTTCACCAACAAAAAGAACCCCTTATATCACTGAGTTGGATAGAAAATGTCCTACTTGCTGTCCTTTCTCCTTGCCTGCTGAGCGGCGGCTCTCTTGTTCTTCAGAGGCAAACTTAAATTAGCAAAGTGAAAAGACAATTCTGCTCGTCCAGTCGTCCGTCCTCGTCCTCACAAATTCGCTGGCTTCCACTCAACTCATAAATGAAACCCTGAAGGCTGCCTTCAGAGGCCTACATGTTCTCTCCTATACTGCAGCGTGTGATGTCTTTTGTTATTGTTCTTTCATGCATGCCGGTCAGTTCAGTGTGTGTGTGTGTGTGTGTGTATGTGTGTGTATGTGTGTGTGTGGCCACATTTGTCCCCCTTGACCCTGTGTATTTTCTTGTATCTCAGTGAGTGTGTTCCTGCTCTGTATACCCTTCCATATTTATGTGCATGTATATTTGTTTGTGCGGATCTGTGTGTGTTTGTGTGTGTGTGTGTGTGTGTGTGTGTGTGTTTGTCCATGTGTGTGTGTGCAATGTCCGTAAAGGATTAGTGTGTGTATCTGGGTCAGTCTAAGCAAGCCAGCCAGTCCTGAGCCAACGGGGCACGTTCTGCAGTGGAACCAAACACTGCAGCTCACCACTGGTCTCTCACACTGCATAGCAAGCATTTGTGTATATGTGTGTGTGTGTTGGAGTGAGAGAGACGGAGATAGATCGCAGATGAGAAAGTGCCACGCATCACTGTTTACCCGCGGGAGAATGGCTGATCCGTACTGCGGTGATCTGTGTGACATTGGAGGCCGATAGATTGTGGGATTTTGACATCATAGCAACAGCAGGAAAACACACAGCATGTCAACTTCAGGGAGGTTGGTTGTGTAATCTGCTAGACATGGACTAGGATGGATTTTGGCAGGGTTTGGGGCGCTATTTATTCCGGTGATGACAAAAGCATCTGTACTGAATACAAGTGCATCCCGACCGCAATGAGGAGCTGATCCTGTGGAAGGATCTACTGTGTCTGTTGTACCGCCGATGGCAAGCCATGTGTCAAAAGGGAAAGGGTTATTTAAGAGGCTTCTTTTTTCCTCATATTACCTTGTGTTGTTGTCTGCTTATAACAGTCTTTGTGGGATGGACGTAGTGAAGGAGCAGTCACAAAGCAACACTTCTCACACTCAATCTATAACTTCAACCTGAATTTGTTGCCTTAGTTCTACTTCTTTTTTTTTTCACATGACTTCCTGTTTCTAAAAGCGTCCACACTGAGGGCCGTGTGTTTGAATCCATGTGTGTGTGTTATTATTACATATCCTCTGAGGCTTGATTTCTGCTTCACCTCCACTCCAAGTGCATTTTCTTTCCGTTCTATTTTAACACAATTCTCTACCTTTACGGTTACATCATCACTTTGTTATAAATGTACACTTCCTTCACCCACCCACCCACACACACACACCAATAAATACATGTATAGGCCGATGTGTGATAATCCTGAGCTGCACAGAGGAAGAGATGTCCCTTTGTGATCTCAGCTTAGTAAGGTGACTCATAAACCCGTCTCTTCACACACACACACACATCTCTTTGATATTTCTGTCTATAAACAGACTGCTGTTTAATTCACTGCGGTTCCTTTGCTGCTGGGAGTCTTTGCAGTATATGCCTGCTCTGTTTGCGGACATGGGGTGTGTGTGTGTGTGTGTGTGTGTGTGTGTGTGTGTGTGTGTGTGTGTGTGTGTGTCATATGATGTGGAAGAGAGACACGAGGGCCAATTGCGTCTCTTGCCTTTGACAAAGATAAACACTGTCTATGGTAACATAATATCAGCCCGTTGCTGTGCTCACGCATGTTTGTTTCTGAGGTTTTATTGTTAAAAGAAAAAGGATAACATGACCGAATGTTATCCTTTTTTTTTTTTGTTCTAGCGATTCACACTTAAGATTTGGATAGAAATGGGTCCATAAATTATAGCTTGTACGCACATGAATGTGCACTGCCTGAAAACAATCTAGCTATGACAATATTTGGTGAGTTATGACGGAGAAGTGCTCGGCCATAAAGTTCTAGAAAATGACAGATAAGAAGGGAGGGGGACCTACATTGGCGGACTATGTCCTGAGCGGGGGGAAGTGCTGCATTTGGCAGATAACTGTGAGCCTCGCTGGGCGTCAGCTGAGAGTGTAAATGCATCGACTGTGACTGTCACATGTGGTTAAAGTACAAATAGTCACCCTAAAGGTATACAGGATTTAGCTTAAAAAAATAATGTATATATGTATACAAAAGTAATCCATCTCAATCATCACTCTCTGGAAGTATTTGGCGGAGCGACACGCGGCCCTCTGCTTGTATTTTCATATTTGTCTGCTCCTGGCAACTGTGCTTCCATTGAGCTGGGGGGGGGGGGCTTGTCTTATGAACTTTGCGAGCAGCATACAAAGTTTTTAAAAGGGAGGAAGAAGCTGGCTTTGTAAAACGGGTAAGTGGTAGATTTTGGTGTCGGGCCCCGTTCTTTGTAAAGAGCATTTACAAGACGATTAAAGTCAGACACGGTAATGAAGTCTGAGGTCGTGTCGGGTTAGAGCTCTCTGATGTGCTGTCCAATATCCTCAAAGTGTGACCTATTAAACCACAGCAAAGACTCATTTAGAACATCCTCTCGTACACAACACTCATTTCTCTGCTCCAGGGTGGAAAGAGGGTGGTAGCTTGTGGCTGAGCTGGGAGCAGCACATGGAACCCACATGGAACCCCCCCCCTCTATATATCCCTTTTAGATGAAGGAATAAGTGGATAACGGAGGTGTTAAAACCTCTTTGTCAGTGTTTTCATATCAACCTCAAGGCTGTTGGACTGTTTATATCCACCAACTTTACAGAAGATCAGTTAAATTTTAATGGAGGGTACCATTCAGTCTGTGAAACACAACGGCTGTGCAATGTCTTTTTTTAGGTTTGAGCAAAATAACCCTGAAGATGTCATCGAAAGATGATGATGAAACAAAAGATGCATTATGGGAATTTTAGGATCCAGTCTTTTGGACCTAAATTTCCCACACCAGACACTAACATTCTGAATCAGTTTAGAATCTGTCTCTGGCAAATCCCCCGCTTCTATTTAAGTACAGTAATAAATTGCGGGAGTACCCTTCAATGTCACCTGCAGTGCTCAAATCCTACATGATTATAATTTCTCCTCTTATTCCCAAGAAATAATCCTATGTTGGACGGATCAGAGTGGGATTTCCACCTGAGCCACTCTGCTGTCACTGCAAGGTGAACACATAAAGTCCTAGAAGTAGTGACAGTGATGTCTGCATCAGTTAAAGAAGTGAAATGCACGTCTGCATGCTCAATAAATGTACATATAATCATCTGCTTCCCAGCTTTATCAGGACCATTAGATAATCGTATCAGAATAATGAGGTTTGTCAGGATTGGGAGTAAAATGCCTTTATAATCGGTCCAGTTCATAACATATAGTATGTTTATCAATGACTGATGACCTGAATGCATCCTTTACTTTAGTTACCGCCATGCAATGATGCTGCGGTGTTGTCCTCCAAAAGAGGGCTGTGTGTCCTTGTCTTAAGTTGCGGGTCCCTCTGGAACGGGGCTGATCTCGTTGACCCCTTCATGACGTATTTGGTCTTGGAATGTGCATTTTAAAGGGCAGCTCCTAAAAAGGGCCACAGTCGACCACTGAACCAGGATCAGCTCCGCTCCTCTGTGCAGTACTGCTGAACTCACGAGCTTTTGTATCTCAACATCCGGTTTAAATATATATATTGTGTGTGTGTGTGTGTGTGTGTGTGTGTGTGTGTGTGTGTGTGCGCGCGCGTGCGCGCGTGGTTGATGTTTGTGCTGTCTGCAGGCCACAATTCTTCTTCACCATGAAGCGGTTTCTGTCTTTCTGTGTGTTCTCTGTCTTCTTCACTCCTGGTTGCTGTTCTGCTGATGATTTGGAGTGATTTTTACAAATTTGGTGGCTCATTGTTGTTCACTTTTGCTGCTGGACCCTGGATACAGATGAATGCTGGGTAATGTCACAACCATACTTTTCTTCACTTCGTCAACGAGCATGCACAGACTACGGCCTACAGGAACACTCGGCCATTGCAGCTCAAATTCTTTTCTTTTTTTGCCATACTAACTTCTAACCTATTTACCTCCATTCACTAAATCCATGCTCGACTTATGAACCAGGGAAGTTATGTCAAAGGAAGAGGCTAATATGCCTGTTTTGAAATTAATATTTTGCAACCAGTACTGCTTGCACAACCTGGGTGTGTTTTCCTCTGTGCCAATGAGTACATGTTCCTGCTGTAAGACTTGATACAAACTTATGACACTAACAACGTTACCACCAGCAGAATACGTCGGCTAATTAAATCCACGCTCTACTGTTTTAGTGCGCTGTTCCTGAGTAACCCCGACCTGAATTTGTGTTTTCAGTGTGGTATTTAATGATTACGGGGCCCCTGAGCAAATGCTGTGTTGCTTTACTTTCACCCTTTCTTAAACTGATAATGTGAGTATTGGCGTCGTAGAAGTATTTAAAAATGTTTCTGGGGTAACACTATTAATACTACAAAGTAAAAGTGAAAGAGGGTTGTTTTTCCAAGAACACAAGATCCTTTGCGGGACGTTGCTTTCCTAAAGTTCAGCAAACCGCAGTCGTCCTCACGTTCTGCGAACCGCTTTGTTTCAACAAATTCGAGGGAACGTTTTTTGCGAACGCCACCTGAAGGGAAGGGTTAACGTCTGCTCAAGGTGGAGCTTACAATTCCATTGTGTAAAAAAATAATATAGCGTCATTTGTAATTGTTATATTTTGCGTGTCAAGTCTGAATGTGCAACGTGACCAGTAACATTTCTGTCATTTCAATGTACGGGTACAATGTGCTCGCCTGAAGTAGAAGTACACAGTAAGTAGGAGGCCATACATCTGAGTTACAGGGTATGATGAGTTAGAATACTAACATAACTAAATATTTTTCATATCTAAACATAATAAATCTACAGCTGTTTGGAGCTCTTTTAGTTGGGGCCTGGGTTGCCTACCTTGCCTAACAGTAAATGGTGTGGGTTTTCTTCCCTTGAACCAGACTGTAGGCTGCATGACTTAACTCCTTCATGGCAGGTGTGTCGCTCAGGACCTTAGAAAGGCATTGATAAGTGTCAAGTTGTTTTGTATGAGCGGCTCTAGAGAAAGCTGCAAGCAGCCCTGACTGACAGGCATCCGAGCGGCGCTGCACCAGCGGTGAGAGCGAGCGATGTTCCCCCGGCCAGCAGAGAAAAGCACACTCCCAGCACTTAGTGGCTTCTCCTCCCTGTTGCATAACACTACTCGAGACGCACGTGCACGTGAGTGCACGTGAGTGCACATTGACTGAGGGCCGTTGTTTGGACCATCATGAGTATAATGCGGGACAATGGCTGAATGTTTATCACACATGGGAGTGGTACGTGTGAGAATCTAAGGATAGAATCTGAATGGACCACAGTGTCTTTCCATCCCTTTCTATCTAATCTAGCTCTGCTTTGGATATAATAGTGAAAAAGTTCATTTACAAAGGCAGGTGTTTGACATCATCTGTATTGCTCATTAATCTCACTGCTATGTGTTGTGAAACTGCAATCATTGTTATCTGTATCATAAAACTTGTGCATACTGCACTTTAACATGTGTTTTTTATAAATAGTGTGAACTAACTGGCAAGTTGATTGGACAAGCTCTCTATGTGTATTCTCAGGAAAGGATGCTGTTACCAACTTAGAAGAAAATCAATGAGATATCAGAGATTTTTGTGTGAAAAATGTCATGATTTCCAATAAATGTTAAAAATATTAGTTAAACTCGCACTGTTGGCCTGCTGGCAGCTCTTTGAGGCTTAGCAGTGCTTTTGAGATACATGCTACCGTCAGCATGCTCACATGCTCACAATGACGATGCTAACATGCTGATGTTTCTCAGGTACAATGTTTACCATGTTCACCATCTCAGTTTAGAATTCTAACAATTGCTAATTTGCTCTAAACTCTGAGCACAGCTGAGGCTGGTGGGTTCCTATGAGCTCTGCATGTATTTAGACAATAACCAAAGTGTTGGAAAATTTGACCTGAACAGGAAAAGTCAGAGATCGCCGAAATCATTTGAATTCCTCCTCTGGAGATCATGAATGCTTGTACAAAAATCTATTGGGATCGATAAATCCAATCGATTTTTATACAAGTGTTGTTGAGTCTGAGCTAGAGTGGTGGACTGACTGACTAACTGAACAGCATTGGCATCCATAGAGCTATAGTGCTAGCATGTCTAATGAATAATGAAACACAATGTGCTGTTCATTATGGTTAGTTAAACATCAGATAGAAAATACATGTACACACATTCGGAGCAACAATGTGAAGAAAGTGCAAAAGAACCCCTCTAAAGTAAAAGATCTGTTCTGTTTCTCTTCGTCAACCATTTTTAAGATTAACGTGCTACTTTCTTCACTTTTTATATGTGGACTGCAGTGGTCCCTGTGAAACTCAACTGTGACAAAACCCAGCAAAAGCTTGATGGAAATATAAAGTCTAATGTCAACAATAACTGGAATTGTCCTTTAAGTGACTTTAAGAAACAAACGTGATATCAGCAGATCTGGCTTTATTTCTAGTGTAGAAATACGGGGTAGACGCGCAATGTGAACAGCGTGTGCAGTGTTCCTATTCCCAGTGTTCGGGGAGGAACACAAGGAGAGACAGAAAGCAAGATCGTTCTGAGAATAGCACAGTGCCACAACAGGCCCTCTGTTTGTTATGGCCCTCAGCTCCCCTTCCTCCTGCGTGTGTGTGTGTGTGTGTGTGTGTGTGTGTGTTTTTCCTTGAACGGGTCGCGCCGCAGTGTTCTCTCCTGGTTCAGGCTGCTTTGAGTTTGCGTGGACCTCCTCTCACTGCATCTGCATAAGAACGAGCGAGGGAGGGAGGGGGAGAGGAGGAAGGAAAGGGAGGAGATGGGAAAAGAACACACTGTCAGCACTGTCGGTCAGCACCAGGAAGCCTGTGTGTGTGTGTGTGTGTGTGTGTGTGTGTGTGTGTGTGTGTGTGTCAGGGGCCAAGCCGTCTGCAGCTTAAGCCTCATACCTTAAAGTTACGTGCTGCTCTGTCACCCTGACCTCGCTGTGGAGGAGGCAAGAGGAAATAGAATAGATACATACGGTAATGCCGTTATTTTGAGAATCTGATTTCCTCATGTTCCGCTATAGAAAATAACTGCAGGGGTGTTTTTTCGAGTCAAATCCCTAAAAAGGGCTTTTATTTATAAATATCCCTTATGAAATAAGAGGCTCGCAGAATTCTAAATATGATCTGATAGCAGAGGGATTGTTGGCTTTCTTTGAAGGCCTGACATGATTTGCTATTTAAGGCTAATTTTTGTGCGTGTGTGTGTGTGTGTGTGTGTGTGTGTGTGTGTGTGTGTGTGTGTGTGTGTGTGTGCGCGCTCCAGATATCTGGTCTCTCGGGGTGATCCTGTACATGTTGGTGTGTGGAGCCCCTCCCTTCCAGGAAACCAACGACAGCGAGACTCTGGTCATGATCCTGGACTGTCGCTACCGCGTCCCTGAACACGTCTCCAACGACTGCAGAGAGTGAGTACCGACTTAAAGAAAAGGCAACGAGGTTCATAAGAAGAGAAAAAAACTGTTTCATTTTAAAATTGAAATTGATTCTTCATTTGAAGGCTTACTCTGCTCCAGGACATTTAGTGCTGTGGAATAGATGCGGTGGACGCTGCTGACCGTAAAATCATCTCATTAGTGTGCGTTTCAGTGGATAATGATGGTGTCCTAGTTATCCCAGAAGCTTCTCCACCCGGCTGCAAATACAGTTCTTGTTAAAACGTAAAGTACTTTCTTAGTCTAAAACAGTGAACGTTATCTATCGATGTATTCCGCTGTTTTCTTTAGCTCAAAACATCTGACCGTATTTGAATCCCGTCTGAGGCCCACAGACACTCCCTCTGTCTTCACTTTCACAACTTCCATCCAACACACACACACACACACACACACACACACACACACACACACACACAC